TTGTATAATACAAAGATAATATACAGTATAATACAATGTAAAATACATGACCAATTTGGTTTACAAAGTTTTTTTAGCGCCACCTAGTGCTAAAAACATTGATATAAGCAAAGTAAATCATGTTTTATAATAAATATAGTTTTTTTTATTGAAATTCATTTTTTATTTTAAATTATTTGATTATTATAACGTAGAAATAACGATTATAATAATAATGCATTTTCTAGAAATTATATTTTAATAAATATTTTAAAGTAATTCTTAACATAATATACAGTATATTAGTTTTAAAATTTGTATAATACATGAATACATTGTATTTTTCCAACCCTGGTGTAGACTAATCGACTAGTGAGACATGTATTGTCTCGTTAATACAATATTAAAATAGCTATAGATTATGGCTATCCCATAGTATAATAATAAATTACAAATATAGAAATTTATAATAAAGACTCTCTCTCTCTCTCTCTCTCTCTCTCTCTTTCTCTCTCTTTCTCTCTCTACCTAAGACTAAATAATATAATTTTTTGCAAAAAAAACAATTCAAAACAAAATGTATTTAATTTTATGAATTACTAAAGTTTTAATGTGTTTGTAATGTGAGATATGATATCAAAGTAATACTGTTGTTACTTAAAAGTATAGTGTATTTGTTGCCAATATTTGTGTGTATTTTATCTCTTAATAGCACTCATTTCACTCATTTTTATGCATCATTTACGACACTTTCATACAAATACATAACACAATAAACAGCATCCAGTCATTAGTCACAGCATAGAGATATAGTAAATCATCATTTGCTTAGTCAACACATATCAAGTGCATCCCTTTCCCCATCATTTCCTATTAATAATATTATATTTTATCACAAAAAACTTATTTTGAGTGTTAAATTTTATCCCTTTTTAGTACCAAATACTATATATATATAGAGTATATATCATTTCATTATATTATTTCATTATACTAACTAAATTAAATACAATATAATACATAAATAGATATGATTTTATGTATTAAACAAAAATTATATTTATCAAGTTTATATTAATAATTATATTTAACATATCATATTGAATAAATTATTTAATAAGGATATATTGAATTTTTAATTATTTTTTGTAAATTATACATTTTGAGTTTATAAATTATTAATTAAAATAATCATTATTATATTAAATAATATGTAGTCTACTGTATATAAAATGTTTATTTTGCTAATTTTCTATATATCATAGTAATTCTATGATAAATATGATATTATTTAAATGTTCATTGAAAATAATGCAAACATGAAAATTAATTTATATTAAGTTGAATTTTGTATTATACAACATATGACTTTGACAGCAAATATTTCAAATTTAAGGACTCCTTGAAGTTAATCACACGTATGTATACATTAATCTGTTGGCTTACATAAAGATTAGTTTGATTGTCTAATTGCCATATTGTAGGCATTGTATGCATTGTAGGTAGAGATGGGCAAATAGAAAGTTTCTAATAAATTTCCGTGAGAAAGTTTCTAGAAAATTTCTCATGAATAAATTTCTATAGAAATTTAACTTTATTGTTATACTATGGGATCCCCATATCTATAGTTATTGGAAATACTATAAATATATTAATGACATAATATTGTACATGTTAATATTATACAAATGGGATACCTATATAAATAATTATCTAATAATAATCAGTTTTGTAAAATTTTATTCACCATTTTATTATATTATAGTTAAATATAATAAAATAAATTAATTTTTACTTTAATTAAGAATTAAAATACTAATAATAATATTTAATTATTTCTTGTAATAACAATGTTACAAGATAAAAAATATTGAAATAACAAAATTAACCATGGGGATTCAATAGATAGAAATTTCTAGAAATTTCTCTATTATTTTATAAATTTCTATTTTTTGCCAACACTAATTGTAGGCCACAACATTACACCTACTTGAGCCCAATGATTAATGCAAATCCATATTTGATTTACATATCAAGTGGTTATAGATGTATGAAAGGCGAGTAAAGCACCGGTAGTTTCATGTTTTACATTAACTGACAGAATAATTCATTTAATTCACAAAAAAAAAAGTCTTAATGTATGACATATTGTTTGTATAGAAACTGTCGCACATTGTATTCATTTGAGTCATTTGATGATTTGATTACAATTAATAGAAAAATATGATTAAATTTTTGTTAGATTTATAATAATAATTATTATTTTTTAAATATATTAATAACTAAAAAATTAATTTTATTTATTAATTTTTATAATTAATAATTGAGTTTAATTATACAGTAAATAACTTATAAAATTGAATCAATTAATATTTGGATTTCTATAATTATTTATTAAGTTTTAAGCTAAAAATATCTTATATAGAACTAGATTGTCCCGCACAACATGTACAGTATAGCCGTGCAATTCTTTTACTAATTTTAAAATATTCATCATAAGTAATTTGAATGAGACTTAATTTGTTTATACAACTACTACATAACCTAATGTAACAAAACTACTGAACACATTAATTCGTCTAAACTTTTGAGAAATTTTAGTTATAGTTTTAAATATAGACAGTATTTAAATAATTTTAATAAAAATTGAAAATTTAATCATTTTTGAGAAAAAATTTGCATTTGAAAAAAAATTACAAAAATTTAGCCCATGTAGCTAACATTGCTTTCAATAAAAATTGAAAATTCAATCATTTTTGAGAATAATTTTACATTTGATAAAGTCCCATAGTCAAAATACGGTTAAGTTAACATTTGGTTGCTTATACTATGGGACTTTTTCAAATGCAAAAATTTTGCAATTTTAATTTGAATTGCAATTGCAATTTGAAAATTTTTGCATTTGAGAAAATAACCTCCCGGTGCCCTATGACTCATATAATATAGCAAAATGTAATTCCACAATACCTGCCTACCTGTCCTCAAAACCTACCAGTGCTCAGTAAACATTTAAAATATCCCATAGAAATAACATTACTTTTAAAAAAAATTGAAAATTTAACAATACATTTTTAGATTTGAATTAAAATATGGTTGTTGGGAAAGGTGTCATACAAAAATCCGGAGATTAATATCTTAAAGTGTTATCTTGAATCTTGATGTTAATAATTTATAAAATATTGTATTAATAATAAAACAAATTAATAAATATAATAAAAAATAAAACATATATTATATTTATATTTTTAAATAAATACAATTATTTTACAATTATTTGAAATATTAATACTTTTTTAATTTACGGTATTTTATGATTTTTTGATATTACAATCGGTTATTATAATAGGATACCATTGTGTGGCCTTCAAGTTATGATAGGATTATCTAATGCGCCGACAAATATGCGCTGAAATTATTTAATATTAAATGATAATGAAATTGATGAAAATTGCATCAATGTTAATTTAATACTCTATATAAAATACATTATATTTATATACATATAATGTATATATAGTGCATAGACTACTTTAGTTTGAATTTAATAGCTTTCTTGTATTGTTGTATTACTTAATTGTAATGTTTTTAATTAATTATCTGAAAAAGCAATTTAGAAATATAATTAACATTTAAGAAATCAACAATTTGTCAATTATGGCAACTAATATAGTCATCAATACTAACATCAGTACAACAACTGATGATTCAAATAGTGAAATGCAATTCTTGAATGAGTTGATGGATATGAATGCGGATCAGTTGTGTGATCACATCTCATCACTGATATTAAGCTGTGAATCCAAAAAGGATGATCTCTTGAATGTTAAGAGACAACAGAATGCCTATTATAAGGATTGTATTAAACATAACAATAATTATAAGCAGAATAAGTTGTTTTGGACGGGTGTTAAATGTGTTGCCCTGGCATGCGGTGGAATCGCAGTTTTTCTACCAGGTTTTGGTTGGTTCGTCGGTGGCATCATTTTTGCGGCAAATGGCGGAACAATGTATGGTGACTATCGGTGCGATAAACAATACAAACAAGAGGTCAGTGAATTTATTACAAGAATGGAGGCCAATGCCAATGATGCGATGTCCGTCGCAAAGACAGTCAGCAATAGGAAAGACCAGTTTGATAGGGAAAGGATGAGACTTGTGGATCAGGGCGTCGACAGCGATCACGCGGCCATACTATTGATTATGGCAATGCTTACGGGACAGTTCAGACCTGTCCAACAAATCAATATAACACTACCGGAACAACACAATCCTATAAATAATACTTCGATGCCATTGCTTATCTCAAAGGGCGCTCAGGAAAAAATAGCTGAATGGTCGGCCAAAGTGGCCAATAAAATGGGACTGGGATTAAACATATCACAAAATTTTGTCCGTAAGTTCTGTGCTGCCATTGCTGTGGCCGGCATTGCATACGATATATATAAATACGCAAAAGTTTGTTTGGAAACCAGTAAAGCTATGGACAGGGCTGAAGAACTTATTAATGTCATCGATAAAGGAATTACATCCACAGAGTATTTCATAAATTTACTAAAACATGTTAGAGATAACATCAGTAGACATAATATAAGGCAACAATTAAGTAATATTAGTTTACAATTGGATTATCAGCACAAAAATTTTGATGACAGACTTAACCAAATGGATCAATTAATCCGAGATTGTGGTCTTGATGTTAGACATGAATTTCAATCATTTAGACAACAACAGAGTATTGATATGGAGAGACTGGTCTTTGTCCTCAATAATATGAACCGATCTATCAATGATCGTAATCATCAATTGAATGATTCAGATAATTATGAAATTGTAAACTCTATTGATTATGATATAGACCTTTAAAATTTCATTTAATTATCTTAAAATAACTTAATTTTCACTAGTTTTGTACAAGGTCAAATAAATTAATGTTTGTAATTACAGTAACATTATTTATTGCAAATTATATAATTTATGTCAATAGGATTAAAACATTTTATAATTTAAATAAAATTATATCATTAAACACAATAATTTACTAAACTTTCAAAGTATGGGACAATTAGTTGTGTGTGATCTCGAAGTAATTGAAACCAAAGAGTATTGTTTTTATTAATATCAATAAAAGACTTCCAATAACTTGAATCTAATTCCCAACGATTTTCTGCTTCTAGTTCTTCAACGATTCCAATTGTATGACAATTGACATACTTTTCAGGAACAATGCAATCATCAATAAAACTATCGCCAATATATACACACTTTGGTTGAGATTTGGACAGCATTTTGGCAGCAAATGTCTTCAAATCAGCCCAATTACCTTCTGCGTAGATATGACCACATTTCAAATCTTCTACAGCGATGGCGTCTCCGATACTATCATCTGAATCAACAATTAAGAACTTGCGATCACATGTGAAAAATGTAGGCTTTCGGGCGTAAGTCAGCACATAATCAAAGTAATCAATCCATTGGTTTCCATAACAGTGTTTCATCAGATGTCTTGTGAAGTCAACATTAGAAGAGGTCACCAAAAGTACTTGTTTTCCTTTTTGGCGTAAATTCTTAAGCATTTGTCGAACACTTTCCGATGCTTTTACTAAATATTTGTCGGGATTTTCGATAAGTTCGGGAAACCAACCGCCACTTCGAGCTTTAAATTGTTGTCTTTCGTACATAAAACACAAACCATTGTAAATATCGGTCCATAATTGCCAGTAATTTACTTCATTACCAGACGAGACATTTACTTTGTCCAACACATCCACACATTTTGCAAACACCTGTGCGGCCGGACTCGTAAAGTAGTCTTTAAGTACCGCAAAATCAAAATCAATATAAAGAGTTCCCGTAACCAGTAATTCAAGTATTTCTGTTAGTTTTTCGGCATAAACTTTGCCGTAAATGTTATCAATCTCTTGCTTTGTTAAGTCTGTAAAGCCATGTTTGGCTGACATCACCGCAAAGTTGGCGTCCAATTTGAGTACATTTCCGTTTTGTTTGTCAATCACTAAACCTTTTTGACTCAATTTCGGACAAAACTCTTGTCGTATATCTTCGGGATAATTGTATTTCTCGATCAAATATTTCTGTAACAACTCGTGAATCAATGGTAACGTATTCTTCAGGTTATACTTGACTAAAGTGTTGTCCATATCGATGGCAATCACGTCATATGCGTTCAAATCAAATGAGTTTACCGTCGATGACATTACTTGACTATTGGTTGACAATTAAATAGATAAATGACTTAATTTGTTGTATATATTGACTAAATTAGTGAATTATATCTTAAATATAATTGAATCACAATTAATAACTATAAAAATGTTAACAATTATCTTATCAAATGATTTTCAATTGTCATAACTTTTACTCAAATTTTATGTCAAATGTTTTGAATGTCAGACTTGAGGTCAACATTGTATGTAAACATCAAACATGTGTTAAACTATTCAATACTTAACATATGATTCGTTATGTAATACTTTATAACATTTAATACAATAATTGTAAGATTGTTGTAATATATTGTTCAGTATATTAGTATAGATTCAATTCATTTAAAATATAATCCATTGTATTAATGCCAACATTACATTGTTTGACACAATAAATGAAATCAAATAAATTATTACAATTTATCTGTTTTTTTTGCAACATATATGACCTCATTCTTAATGATCTTCAATGCCTTAAAAATAATTACCGATAATATACGTGAAGTCAAAAATGCTAAATCATTTGAATTATTAGACAAATTTATATATTTATTATTTCATTAATTACAATATTTGTATAATATTTAAATAAATCTATATATCTATTAAACATATGTATAATAACTAAAACACTATCACTTGTAGAGACAATTGTGAATCACTTAATTGACAATTTGTGTTATCAAACTCTATCACATTTGTCACCGAAAGCTAAAACATTTTGTAATCTGTTTTCAGACTTTGAACGACTTCTTCTTCGACTACTCTTTGGTGACATGTCTTCCAATGGTATCATTTCTTCAGCTTCAGCCAGTGTTGGTCGCGGAGATGAATCGCGACTCTGAGAGCCGTTGGGTGGTGTGTTGGAAGCCGATCGGCGTCGATGTAGAGAAGGCTTTAAGTGCTTATTTTGATGATCTGCAACAACAGCTGATCCAGGGATGGCTGGTCCGCGACATAAGGGCTTATGTGTCTGACGTTTGATTCCATCGTGATTGGAGTGACTGCGAGGAATGTCACGATTGGATGAAGTGGACGAACGCGAAGACTGTGTGCAATCATTTGTACCAATTGTGGATATTTCAATGAGTCGAGCGATTTGTTGCATTTTTCTATGTCGAGCCCGCAGTCGACCTTTCGTGAGTCGTTGTTTTGCTGCCAAACACCTAATATGATCATCAAAGACAAACTTTGCATTGAGTTGCGCCCGACGGACAGCACTTGTCTGAGAACACTGTCTGATTTGTATGTGTAGTGAACGCGAGTCATCCTTATCTGCGTTAACCTCGACATCCTGAAGCCACGCGACAAACTTGGCGACTCCCCAACCAAGCCGTTTGGTGTCCGGCTCTATAAGAATGAGCTGATGTGCGTCTATAACCATAAAGCGTCTTAATTTTGGCTGATCTTTGTTTATTACAGTACAGGCAATGAGATCACTATTATCTATATAACAAACACAATAATGTATTCAAATATGATTTATTTAATTACCGGTAAGACTTTATTGAGACTCACTTAAGTCAAGCAATTGATCCACTTTAGTACACGAATCATAGTTAGTGAGTGGTAATTGAGTTTCAGTTTCATCTCTAAGAGATTGTGACAGACTTCTCAATAAAAAAAATACTTGAATGGCCTAAAAGATAAATTAATGATAATTACGATACTATACTGAATATAGAAAAACGATTTATCTTACATAACGGGTCCGTTCAACATCAGCACAGGGAAGGCGTCGGTTAAACTCAATTCCAGTCATCATTAGTGGTGTTAATTGGTTGGGTGGCAGCAATAAGTTTGAGTCCATCATCAGAAATTCGACATTAAGCTGTCGCTTTAGAAGCTGCTGGTGTTCGTCTTCAAACATATCCAAAAATAACATTTCTTCCTCACTCTTATAGAAATTTCTGAGAATAAGTATGGCTTCTTCTTTTGCCTGCTCTAAGACAGCCAAGTGATGGTCTGATAAAATACTTTTGCCTTTTCTTAATACTAATCGTTTAAGTAATAATATACTCATCTCTAAAGTTATTAATCGTATCTTACTATCTATTAATACAAAAACCAATCGAAATTTAGCAATTATTTTAATCATTGTTTATATTGATATCAAATAACTTACTATATTGACAACATTTGCGCATAATTTCAATTAATATATTAATCAACTCATTGTGAAGATTCTCTGATTGTGTTGATTGACTAGTAGTAGCTTTAGATGACTTGTCGTGAAGTATAACTTCTTGAAACATATCCTCAGATATGCCTTTGAAATAAACAGAAATATTGGTTAATTTACTGTAAGTTATTTAAATAGTTATTATCATTATTACCTGAATTATTGATAATAGCATAGAGTAGGCAAAGTGAGAACAGAGACAATCGATCGTCGGTTATCTTTTCACAATCCATTGAACTGAGTATTGCCTCCAAAAAAGGTCTGTTTTCGGTAAGATTTTGTTTGTTTAATAACCGATTCACAGAGAGATTCGCTTTTTCCTCATCAGTCAGAGATGTCATATCTGTTATCGAGATATCCAATCTATCAGGACTTAGAGGAGGACTATCGTTGTTCTCAATAGCGATATTGTTCTGATGATTAGCATCTATTGTCACGGATTGTTCATTACTGAACAGTCTATTATGTTTGGCATTATTATGGCTGACATTACTCGTCGATCTTTCATTATTTTCGTCACTATTCGAGTCATTTTCATCACTATTCTGTGCTTTGACAGCGTGTATAAGTGACTCTTCAAGTGTCTCATTTGGCGCTACAAACTCTGGCAATTCAAATATCTTTTTATCATTATTTAAAAGAATATCAACTAATTTCAAGAGCAATGACTTATTGGATACAATAAGAAAAACTTGTGTAAAAAGGAATAGTGAAACTGTTTGTGAAATATGTGGTCTGTTAGATGTGGAGGAGGACGGAGTGGCAGCCGGTATGTTGCCCATCATTGAGTAGATATATAATGGTATAAGTAATCGATTGAGCATATGGTCAACTAAAACACTGTTCAAATTACTGATCTCTAAAAGTAATATATCATTCAAGTAATGCAAATGATCCAAATGTTCGGCCACTAAGTCATCCAAACGTATCAATACTTGTTGTCCACTGAATAAAAAAATTATAATATATTTAATTATAATTCAATAGTAGGTCTAAGAATTCAATAAGATTTACTCGAGTTTGTCATTGACTAAACAATTGTCAATATTGATGACATTATTGCCAATAAACCAAACAAGATTTGAGAAATAAGGCGCTGCCGTACAGTCCTTAATGAACTTTAACATTGACTTCTCGTCCACTGATTTTCAGAAAATTCATTATTAATCCTTTACTTTAATTTCCGTTACATAAATATCTTGTATTTACTGTACCTTTAAAGACATTTAGTGTAAGAGTTCTGACTGCAATTCTGACCATCTTTTCGCTGTGATTGAAGAATTTTATGGCTTCTGTGTAAAGAGGAAAATCATTGGTGTGTTCATTGAAGAAGAAGTGAATGGTGTGTGGATTCAATTTTAGTGATAATGTCTTTAAAAACGATATGTAATAAGCCATCACTTCTTCATCGGAAAAATCAAACTTATGAACAATGATTGAGTTCACGTGATTGTTGGACAACAGATAATCTGAAGACAAATTAATTGTTAATCTGATTTAAATGTCATTTAATTATACAAAATAATATTAAATGAAAATCACATACAAAGTGATGTCTCGTTACGGATGTTCTCAAACAATATATTTAGTGTCTGAAGCAGTTGTACGCAAACATATGAACCACACTTTTGCTTCATTATCTTTAGAAAGAAGGACAACATATTCTTCTCGAGGAAGAAGCTGTCAAAAGACGTAAATTAAAAACTGTTAATAAAAAACAAACCCTTTATTGTTTGAAGACCTACTCAAAGACAGTGCTGTCATTCTGATCGCCCCAAATCAGTATCTCTGCCACAGATCTCAATGTCTCGACTAATAAAGTCCTGTTCTGTTCGGTGACTGTTTGACTTCTGGACATCACATTAAACAAGTATCTGAAATATTAACGATTGATTGATTCAATTAATTAAATTAGTTTGATATATGTTGTCCATACTTGAGCTGTTCCAGTGAGTGTGGATTCTTGGGTTTTGATGACCACCCGAACCATTGTTTCGGTTTAAGCATCGCTTTCACCACTAAATAGTCCGTCACTTGTGATGACTATGTCTTGAGTTATAAAATAAATATTTTTCACTCAATTAAAGCATTCATTTATCACATGATATTAAAGGCTATCATATTGTAAACATATTAGGGGTCACTCACTAACACTATTACAACAATTTAAATGATATGTTATTAATATACTGATTCATATTGTAATCAAAGTAACAATTCATCTTAAATTCAATAATCAATAGTTTAATACCAATTGACTGTTTTTAGTCAACTATTTAGATATAAAGTTAATAAAAACAATAATTTTTTATTTGTGTTATTCATATAATAGTTTTTTAAAAATGATATAATTTATAAAATAAACTAATGTCTCAATTGGCCACCATTTCTGCCTCGGAATCTTCGCTCTCTTCAGCCATTTCTTCATCTGAGTCTTCTTCATCCTCTTCATTGCCTCTCGAGATAACAACCTTTCCTTTATCTCTCTGGCGTTTTTCTCTCACGAGTCCAGCGGCGGGTGACTTAATAAGCGCCATATCTCTGGCAACTTCTTTACGATCCCTATTCCTCTCAAATACTGTTCCCTTTCTGAGTCTATTCATAAGAAAATATGACTCTCTTTTCTGTTTAATCATATCAACTCTCTTCATGGCCTCAATGGTCTCTGTCCACAATTTTCGGTCATATTTGACGGGAATATTCCTCCTCTTTTCAAACTCAAAAGTTGTGTCAACTTTAAGTTCTTTGTTATTCGCTTTACGGAAAGCTTTTGTCCATCTCTTGCGCCGCGGATTACACTTATGTTTGAATTGTTTGTGACATTTGCTTTGACAGAAACGGAAGATCTGTTGGCAAACACAAGACATTGAAACAAAAAATAATTAATAAACTATCAGAAAACACATTTCAACAAATATCACAATAATTGATCGCCTATTTAGTCAAATTGTCAATAATAATATGTCATCCGATTAGTGATAATACCATTGATGACAATTTAAGTTAATAATTGGCGATCAAATTGTAGTGACAAAAGCAATGACTAACCTTACAGTCGTTGCGGACAAAGTTAATGCCGTGACCGGGATATATAGGACGGGAACAAAAGTAACATCTCTCGATACGCATGGCTTACCACTTAAATTATCAACAAATGTGATCACAATTTAGTCAAACAATACCATCGATGACAACAAACTATAGTTGAAATCAATGATCACATGCTTTGCACACAAAACACAACATTTTGTGAACACGTTTTGCATTCAATTTACTATATTTCACATCAATTATGTCCTATTAATACATACTATCGGATCTTTATTTATAAATTACTAATTATTTATACAAATTAAATGTATTTCAAGTTAATGACGAGTTTTATAGTTTATTTATTAATTAATTATTTACTAAATAATTTTATTAATTATAAAACTAAAATTTTTGATAAAAAATTGTCTCAATTTATAGTAAACGTGTGTTTATGACGTACTATATGTATGTGAGTGTTGTGTCAAATATAATATACAATAAGTAATATTAATATTCATTGAATGTTAGCGTCAAATATCAATCAAATATTTATTAAAAGTGTTTTTTTCATTAATTAATTTTAATATAAATAAATTAATTAATTATTATTTTTATTGAAGACATTTGTCACCAAATAGTCATTGTTTGTCAAAAAAAAAATATTGTGAGCAGTGATGGACTCAATAGTATCGATACCCATAAGTGATGAAACCGGTGGTCAGTCATTGTTGGCGGCGGTCAAAGATATGGAGAAGGATAAGGACCGGGAGGTCGCCATTCAGGCTCAGGTCGAGTACGAAAACGGCAATAACAGTCTGGTTCTGGATCTGTTGGAAACGTTGGGCACCAATAAAGCCATTCAACACAACCGACTCATTACTCAGTTCGCAAACGACCAAAATGTTGACACACTTTTGGATGGACTCATCACCAGTGAAGATATGGATGTTGACCAACACGTACTTATTGACTATAATCGGGCATTAGTTTTGGCCAAATATTTGCACCGATACGATGAGGCCATCGATTTGCTCGAACAGAGAAGAAATCTCTTTACCAATGATTCGATGTTCGGCTTCGTAGACGACAAGCTGGCCATCAAAGTGTGTCATCTGTTAGTCATCCTATATCTCGAACGACGTAAAGACCCGAACAAAGCGTTACCACTGTTGCAGACAATTACAGATAAAAGTGACTCGAGTTCTGTACCAAATAATTTGCAACAATTGAAAGCCAAATGTTATCTACAGTTAGGGTCCGTAAAGACCGCCAAACGCGAGCTTAAGTCAGTGGGAGGACAGACACTACTTCGGTCTTATCTGGAGTTTCAAAGACAAAACTATAAGAAAGCAATGAAAGTGTTTCAGACGTGTACTGACTCTCAAAATCCTCTGTATGTCAACAATGAAGCTCTCATTAACTTTGGTTTAGGGAAACGAAATACAGCCGTCTTTTTGATGGCTAAAACATTGAAGTCTAAGCCAAATCCCGAAACGCTTTACAATTTAGCAATTTTTCATTTATTTACGGGAAATCCTGACAGTGCTTTCGATATATTATACACTTTGGCACCACTTTATCGCAAGAATCCTCAACTCTGGCTTCGATTAGCTGAAAGTCGTCTCCAAAAGTATCGTAATCTAAGAAAGTCTGTGATTATTGATAATAAAACAGACTTTGATTTGTGTCGTCGTAAACACGATGTCGTGAATGAACATATCGGTGAAGGTATTCATCGCAAACTAATATTAAGCAGTAGTTCTCAAGCGGTTAACAGTGATTCAGAAGCGCTTTGCTTTTGCCGTTCATCGTTAACCAATGCGTTGACATTAATTAATTTTCCGAACGAACGAAACTTTTTGCCATCGAATCCACCGACAGATTCTGAGTTAAATCGTCTGAAGATATCCATTCTGTTGTGCTTATCGTATGTCAATCTAACACTTTATGACTATTCGTTGGCCGCACAGCACGCCAACGATGCATTGAAATTGTCGCCATTGGGCTATCAGAAAGTGTTGGCACACTTGTATGCCGGCGAAGCACTCATCTATTTGGACCAAATAAGTGAAGCTATCGGTCATTTCAATCCTGAATTATTTGTTAATCAGTCTAATACTTTGACAAATAATAATAACTATAATAATAATAATAACAATAACAGTAATAATACAACAAATAATAACACCGAAGTCGACAAAATATACACTCCTCAGTGGTTTAGTGGGACATCAGGAAAGGCGGTTCTTTTATACAACCTGTCGATTGCATATACTCTTCGTGGAGAGTATGACAAAGCTAGTGAAACGTTACGACAAGTGGGACAGGTGTCGGACCAAAACATTACGGGACAGGTATTCATGTTAGCCGTATATCTTCAGTTACAACAGGGAAACGTTGATTGCGCCAAAACTTTAATCAAATCACAGCTTCCGCAATACCGATGACTAGTAATTTAGTAATTTTTTTTGACTTATAATTCATTTGTAATTATTATAATATATAACTAGTTTTATTGAGTCAATAAAGATTTCATTTTTTGGTAATTGTTTAAAAATTTCATAAAAATATTTCAAATCATATAAAATTTGAAGAATTAGTTTTAACAAAATAAACTTTATTTGAATAAACATTAAAACAAACAGTAAGTATCAATTTTATCACAACATTTTTACTGTAATTGATTACCTAATCAGGCAGTATATCAACGATATCATCATTTTGAAAGTCATCCTCATCTCGAATAGCATTTCTTTTCCAAGAAGTGGTCGGTCTTTCATTAGTAACATTTAATGTTTCGTAAACAGACATATCAATCAAATTTTTGTTATTGTTATCCACTTCTCTTTTCTGTGAATTACTTTTAGACGCTGTACTTCTAGGACTCGCCGATGTTAGGTAACCACTACTACTACTGCTGGCCGAACCTTCACGAGAACTGGTAGCTGATCTTCGTTGAGATGCTCTGCTTGTGCTCCGCGATATGATACCATTGGTACCGTTGAGACCACTGACCACTCTCTGCTCTTTAATCTCTTTATTTTTCTCTAATTTTTTCAATTTATCTGAGTATTCATAAGATTCTTTAAGACCCAAATCAGTTGAAACCCGGATTAAGAATTTAAGACATTCAATATTTTCGGGAAACTGGTTATGGATTGTCTTATAACAATTGTAGGCGTTTTGGTAGTTACCACTGCGTCGATGACAAGCGCCTACCATTAGTAACCATTTGATTTGTTTTGGTCTTTTAGGTAATAAATGTTAATTAAATTGAAATTTGTTTAAACAAATGTGTTTTTTATTTAACTCACTGAACGAGAGCCGCCCTTTCCAAGTATTTTATAGCCTTTTCATAGATTTTGTTTTCGAGATAATGTGCGGCCAGTCGTTCAATGGTTGGGATATGCGATGGAAAGTAGCGATAACTCTGAATTGAAAAATACATTTAAAACTGTTTTTAAACAAAATTATTATTATAATGATTACATCAGTCAGATAACTAAACGCCTGTTGTTTATCTCCTTCAGAGTCGCACATATCACTTAATTTGACCAAAAGTGACGGATCCGATGGTACAAAATGTAACAATTGTTGGTAAAAGTCAAGCGCTTGGTCTTTGTTTTCAAGTAATTCATATCTACCGGTATTTACAGTATTATAATAATTTATTATAATTTATCATAATTTATCATAATTTATCATAAATTATCATGGTAGTTTAATACTGATATACTCTATATATTTTTTATATTTCAAGTATTTTTATAATACAAAATTAGATACTTTTACTTACATATTAGCAATTTGATAGATAATATGCGGGTGCCGTTTGGTGAGTGTATGTAATTTGAATAAGTAGTCCAATGCGTCCTCATATGAGCCCAACTTTTTGAAAGCCAACGACAAGTTATACATAGATTCCAAACATTGGGAATCATTATTAACGGCTTCTTTATAATATTCTTTAGCGCGTTCGTAGTCCTGATGCTTATAATAGGCATTTCCTCTGTTGACTAAAGCGCCAGAATTATATCGGTTGGCATTAATTGCTTCGTTAGCATACTTTTCAGCCATCGATATGTCGTTTTGCAATAAATATAGAAACGACAGGTTTGTGGCCGCAGTCGACGCACTCTTATTGTCTCTCTTTTCAAAAGACTTGAGTGTAGAGATGGCTTCATTGAACTCTCTTTTACGCAAATGTTTGACCGCTTTGTTAATCTCTAAATCATTAGCCAAATGGGAATAACTGGAGTTTCGTATTTGTTCGACACACCACTCATATCCCTGGCTAAACGTATCTCCAATTACCGGTGCTATTAGTTTAGCGCCGGTAAGTATAGACCATTCAATGTCATGTCTTTTCTTTTTTTCCAATTTTCTTAAATCGTCGTTTTTAATCACTTCGACTAACATATGATTTGTGAGATCTTCACCTAAATCTGTATGAACTGTGTATTTGTCGTCAAAAGTGTCGTCAATATTCACTTCAAGAAGTTTACTAAAACACTGTTTCATTTGCTGTTTGTCACCCAAACCATAATTACAGACAATCAGATGAAAGGCTGTGACGGCGTCAATGCGTTCAGACATTATATATTCAAACGAAGTGATTGAGTCAGCGAATTGGTTTAGTCTTACAAACGATAGTCCAATGTTTTGCATTATCTTTAAACTAATAGTCAATACAATACAGATTTGTTTAAAGAATAATTTACAGAATATTTAACAAAATTAAATAATTAATATAATACTTACCGCAAATCTTTTTGTATATTAGGAATCTGATCCAAAGCCATACGATAAAACTTAATAGCTTTTGGATAATTTGATTGTTTATAATAAATATTTCCTATATTTAATTTTAATCTTCCTTTAAATAATAAATATTCGATACATTAATAATACTACAAAAGTATATCAATCGTAATATTGAATATATAATAAAGCATTTATTGATAATTAATACCTGTGTTAGTAAAGGTGCGATTCTTAATAATTGATTGATAAGTATTAATAGCTTCTGAATACATATCCGAATTAGTGTACTGAAGGGCCAAATTAAAAAGTACCGCAAATGTTAAGTCACTGTTTGGGGCAATAGTTTCAGCCAAACCCGACTGTTCCTTCATTCTGGATAACGATCTTTCCTTTTGGACGCACTCTTTGGCCTTTTCGAGGGCTAAACTAATTTCCAGTCGTTGGGCGGCGAATACACTTTCCTCTAACAAATCGTTTATTTTTTTCTCCAATTGTTTTATCTTTACTTCAGGTAATGAATCATCTTTTGTTTGAAAACCTGATACCATGGACTTTGCCTGACCTAACGGGTCAAACATAGTGGCGCCGCGATTACCTTGAGATGTATAGCCAACGCCTCTTACGGCAGTCATGGGTCTGGCAGTGGACGGGGGCTGTGCCTGTACTGCCGTTCCCGTAATTCTTCTCTGATTAGCAGTTGCTGTAATTGATGAGCGCCTGAATCCCGTATTAGTTCCCATTCTGGATGCGGCAGCAGTTTTGTATCCAGTGTTGACACCTTTACGTCCATAACTGCTTTTAAGGACTGCCTGTTGGAAACCCTCATCATTCTGTAGATTCTGTATATAAACTTAATATTAGTTTAATGTTATAAAAGATAATAAATTAGTAAAACAACTCTAGTGTCGAGCGCCGGATGAAACTCATTGTATCCCTCGTACAAGTCATCATCACTATCGGCTAAAATCACTTTTTCCATCATTTTTTGGACAATTTGTAATAATATTTACATTAAATATTTATTAAATATAAGTCTAAAAATAAAAGTCGCATTCAAAAGATGTTATGTTTTGTTATAAAAAAATATATAAAATATTGTTTCTATGGGTACCTAATATTCAGGTATATTTGCAATAAATTCATAACAAATATACGGATCAATAATTATTAGACACAATATCCTTGCGAACCATTAACCAAACAATATTATATACCGACTCTTTAGACACAATGTTTTAATTAACAAATTAATCTATGATTTGTATGAATAGCACACATAAAAACATAATTATATGACTAATATAATTTCTATTCAATAAATTAATAAATCAACAATTCAGTCAAATAATTTTTATTGTTAACAATTTCTATTATATAATATCATAAGTTATATGTAAATTAATTTTATTATTTCATTTTCATTAAAAATAATTTGATATTACATAAGTGTACTATAATGTTGATTATAACATCAATAATATACCATAATTTGTTCAGTAAGTTATTATTTTATATACCGGTATTTTTATGAATATTTTGTTTTTGATTACTTACAGTGAATTTATTTATAATAAAATATTTGTTAAAAATAGATATTTTGCAAAATTTCTCAATAAAAAATCTCATTATAAAAAATTTATTTTTAAAATTTGCCCAATACTAGTGAATGATTTTTTTTTGTAAATAAATTAAAATCATTAATTAAGACATTAAAATTTACTTAATAATTATTAACCACATGTTAATAACTATCCAGTTTATAATATAATGAAATGCAAAAAATAATTCTATATTTTATATGGTTATGGGATATAATTACAAAATATATTCTAACTATAAATTTCAATGATTTATTATTTTTTTAAAAAACTATCCAATTATTAATATAATAATTAAATACATCAATAATACTATTAAAAAGTGAGAGAAGTATTAGTTCCACAATTGATTGATATTATTATTGATATTGTCGTCGACATCGCAAACCTCTCTAAGCAATGGACTGATCTGATCCCTGTCGTTTCTGAGACAATTAGTCACATGAATCTCTTTGATCACATGAAGATCAATCAGTGTACTCATCAGTTTCAAGAATTTTGTTTTCGACTCAAATTTTGTCGGATATCTCATATAAAGATAGCGTTGCAATAAATACATATAAATGTGTTGTTGTAATCTATTTGTTAATAAAAAACAATTAAATAATACATATTATAAGTTAGGGTAACTGTTTGTTTGGGCAAAAAAAATCAATACTCACTTAACCATTTCTCGGTACATAAGATTAGGTCGATCCGGATTAAATAAAATAATTGCTGTCAACTAAACAAAACAAAATATTAATAAATATTAGCATTTAATAATTTTTTTGCAATAAATAAATAATAGTTGAATTACAAGATCCAAAATAATTGTATCGGATTCCCATTCGGGTCTTATTTTGTCGAGAAATCGTTTGTAAGCCCTATAGAGTTCATACTTTGCTGATCTCAATAAATCCAATTTCATTATTGTTGAACTACTGTCGTCCTAAATCATGTCATATATCATCATAAAAAACAACATTTCAATCAATAAAAATAAATCTATGAAAAACTTGATGACATGGATGAACATACTGTGACATAAGTCCACTGTTCTCTCTCGAAGTTATAATTCATGGTAAGTCTCATACAGAAGATTTCAATGCATCCATACTTCATGAGAGCTATTTGGTCGTTCTCACACATCTTCTGAAACGATTCCAATACTTTTGACATTTTAATCATTTTGTGGATCTCTTGTTCCACTTTAAATCGCCACACTTTGCATCCGTCTTCAATAGTCATGGCCTCGGATGTGATCGGAACTTCTGGCGACTTTAACTTATGGGTTGCGTTCAACAACTCAACCAAACGATTAATTTCTAAATCGTTAAACTTTTCTGTCAATTCATCGATGGGTCGGGCAATCGGGATAACAGACATCTCAAATTCAGCCGTTTTTTGATAGACTGATTCATGAATATTATCGGACGGTCTGTTCCGATAATTCAGTAGATTTTTGCACATTATTTCAATGCTGCCATCGAAGTCACCATTAAAACGTTTTGGTGTAGTCGATGCAGAACTGGGAGATAGATCTAAAAAGTCGACAATAATTGTTGAGTGATCCGTATCACTGATCGGACTGTTGTTGTTGTTATTGTTATCTTTAGTGTCATTTGATTTTTCACTGTCTGAATCACTATTCTTACGTTTCTTACGATTTTCTTCAATCTTAGTTCTTCTCAATTGCTTTTGTTCGTCATTTAAAATCCATTCCTATTAAACAAACAAAAAATAATATCAAATAAATTTTAATAAAATTTTATGATTTTTTATTAGACATACCTTTTTCATACCGACATCGAAACACTTCTTTAGTCGACATTTTTTGCAGAATTTACGCGAAACTAAGTCTATCTTACAATTGCCTTCAAAGTGACACTTGAAGTTCTGGACCAATCAATTGTAAACAAAATAATAATTATTAACTAAAACACTATTTTATATAATATATAATATGAAATAATCGATACATACATCATATTTAGAGGCATTTCTTCTAAAAAATGCTTTACAAGACTCACAACAAACGGCATTGAAATTATAACCTGAAAATAATAAATGAAATAAATGAACCCAAAGTCAGTTAATTTATTGATTTATTAAAGTAAAAATATGCGAAAATATTAGTGCAAATATATGTTAAACAATGTATTTAAGGAATGAATTAATTTTAATATAAAGAATAGAAAATACTAATATCAACCAAAATGGACATCAATAACGTGACTAAAAAAATAAATAATTAGTAATATTTAATATATTGTTTTATATTATTAAATAATATATTATTATAAAAAATATTTTATAAACTAAAAATACCGTATTACCTCAAATAAAATTTTTAAAAAATATAATATTTTTATTAAAATAAATATAAAAATGATACCGTATTACCTCAAATAAAATTTTTAAAAAATATAATATTTTTATTAAAATAAATATAAAAATGATACCGTATTACCTCAAATAAAAATTTTTTTAAATAAAATATTTTAATTAAAATAACTATTAAATATATAAACGTACCGTATTACCAAAATACAGTACATATTGGAAAAACACATTATAATTGAAAAAACACATATGTGTTGGTAATACGGTACATATGGGAAAAACACATTATAATTGAAAAAACACATAATATGTGTTGGTAWTACGGTACATATGGGAAAAWMMCATTATAATTGAAAAAACACATAATATGTGTTGGTAATACGGTACATATGGGAAAATACCATTATAATTGAAAAAACACATATGTGTTGGTAATACGGTACATATGGGAAAATACCATTATAATTGAAAAAACACATAATATGTGTTGGTAATACGGTACATATGGGAAAATACCATTATAATTGAAAAAACACATAATATGTGTTGGTAWTACGGTACATATTGGAAAAACACATTATAATTGAAAAAACACATAATATGTGTTGGTAATACGGTATTAATTATTATTTTTTATTTTATGATAAATTATATTTTTTTATTTTATAATAAATTAATTTTTTTTTTATTTTATAATAAATTATTTTTTTTATTTTATAATAAATTAATTTATTTTATTTTATAATAAATTAATTTATTTTATTTTATAATAAATTATATTATTATTACATTATTTATGTTTAAAAATGTGTGAATCAATGGTTTACTAATGCATTCCTTAATAGCAAATCAGTAAACCATTGATTACTAAATTAAATAAAAAACAATTCAAACCTTATTTGAAGCCATTGTTGTCGTCAATGTGTCCACTGATGTCTAATCTAATGATAAAAAATAAAATAATATTTAATTAATTGTTAATATAATTATTAAATGTAATTAAACTTACCGTTGATTTCGTTCCCAATTGTGTTGATCCGGTGGTTGTCTTAGTTGTGACTAAATTGTGTTTTTGCGCCAAATTTTTTGACTAATTTAACAATTGTTTATTAGAGGGCATATCAATAGCTCACTGATGAGCTATTGATGACAAAAATTGATTAACAAATAAACAAATAATTAATTGTTTTATAAATCCATTCCTTATTAACACAATTCCTTAAATACATTGACTTTCATAATTTGCACCCAATTTTTAAGTATAGATGACTTGAAGATTAAAATAGTTTTTTATTAGTTAGGTATCAAACAAATTAAAGTCCACATTTGACTTACCCGTCGCCCGATCCCCACATATGACACACACTTTCATTAATTCCTTATTGTTTCCCATTTTTATTTGTGATATGACGTGATATATACAGTACTGTATTAATATATATTTGCAAAATTAATACAAAAGTTAATGACAATTAATATATCATATATAATAAAATCAAATTTACTATAACTTGATTATATTATCATATACTGTACTGTAATATATAATTTACTTGTATAAAATTTACAGTATGATAGCACACAAATAACAATTAAATAATAAAAATAATATGATTTAAATGAACTTTTAATCAATAAAAAAATTAAAAACAAACGTGTTGTAGTGTAGGATCATTTACAATATATTATTATAATGTGATACTATTTTATCATAGTATTGGTGTAATTAATTGTAATAACTGAATAGATAACTAATTTGATAACAATTTATACTTGTTATCAAAACAACTACAGTATTATAGTTATCAAGTTTTTAAATATTTGTCTAAACTTTTTTTTCGTATAATTGTAGAGAATATACAGTAGATTAGCATTAAAATAGTCAATAATCATCACACATGTCATAAATATGTATCACAAACTTATACACACAAAAAAAACATTTAAGAAAATTTATGAAAACAATTATTTTGTTATTAAAACAAATGACAAATTATATATTTTATATTTAATCAGACATTTAATAATAACATTTCATTGTAAAAGTAAAAACGTTATGCTGTAATACAATTGAAACACAAAATCATAAATATATGTAATGAATGAAAACATTAAAGCGTTTGCGTATAAAAATGTTTACATAATTCAAGTGAAAACTTAGAGCAAACGCTTCAACAAAAGTTGCATTTGATTTATCAATAGTTTTTATCAATATATAGTGTAATAACTTGTACTGTAATTATAATTTATAATAAATCGCTATTCCTTTCAATAATATTTAAAACTTGTTTCCAGTGAATACTATAAATACATAAACCTATTAACAAATTTTATATATACAGTAATATTATGCACTGACAGATATAATTATATAACAAATATAGTAAATTTTCAAGGTTACATTTACTTAATAAGTTTAAAATTTAAAGTATATATTATATATAGATTTTAATGTATRCTTATTAAGTGTTATTTATATTATGATTGACTGTAAATATTATTATTTTATATTAAAAATATATTTCTTACAATTACAGTAAGTTTAAATATTTTTTTCTGATACTTATATATTAATCGCATTCMTTTRATCCAAACTTGTTTGATCCAAATCACTAAATAAAATTACTTAATCTAAAATATTTTATATTAACAATTGCACTTAAACTAATGATCATATGAACTAAATCTCATAAATATATATATATATTAAAAAAATAATTACAGGTACGGTATAARAAWATTTAAAATTACATATAAATTTATGAGTAGAGATTTTTAAAATAAATATTTCATTATTTACTTTATATATCTTTTAATTAAATTACATCATAATAATAAAATTTTAAACTAAACATTTCAAATTATAACTAAATATAGTAATTTTATTCATTTTTTACAAATAACTTACAACAATATTATGATTAATATAAAATTGAAATATTAATGTTATATAATTTGATTAAATATACTAATGATAATTAAAATATCATAATATACAATATATTTTAAAAACACAATTGCAATGATAATTTATTTTTATAAAACATATTTATTAATACATAAAATTAAATATATTTTTAATAATTAAGAAATTCATTCATTTGCTGATATATTATAAATTATCAAAAATACTTTTGCAAAACTTCACTCAAATAGTTAGCATTCATAAGATTGAGTTTTGACTGTTGATAGCGATACAGATTTGGACATTCAATGGACTGACAGTCGATGTCTGTACCCATAGAAGCGGTACATTGTTTGCAAATATCAACGACTTGTTTATAATTTAGTTGAATGTTTCTGATGTTGTTATTCACTGAACGAATCGATTCGTGAGGATTTCGCTGACAGTCTTCGCAAAAGTCTTTGCCTTTACTATTAGAGTCGCAAACAATACATTGAGTTGTATTGAAAAAATGTGTTATTGTTGTCTTCGACGCCGACTTTTGGCGTCCCAACAGATATTGATAGCGATTATAATGAATACGTTTAGGCATTTCCCGATACCACTCGCCAACGTTATGTCCAATTAGATCAAATACCCGACTCAATGCCGGTATAATTGCCCGTTCAATGTAATACTGAGCATTAAGTCTAAGAGATGGATCATTGATCAGTTCTAACGGTTCTTTAAATAGCTTATAAAGTGAATCATTAGGAGCGCCACAAATGACAACATATGGCACCCGTTCCTTAAACATGGGCTCACAATTGGGATCAGCTGCCAGTTTGCGTTTAGTAATCTCGACCGAAGGCACGTGTGATTTATCGCTATAATTCTCGATTCCTTTATATTCTTTCGCAAAGACAAAGTCATTCAATATATCTACCCTTCCGTCCAATATTTTCTGGAACTGTCGAAACAGATATTGTTTCACTTCGTTTAAATCATTTTTTTGAAACAATATCCGTAAAGATTTTTCTAAAAGTTTCGCCACTACTGGACACGAATCTCGTCTTACAGTTTCAGTACCTTTTGCGTCAAATTTAGGTATTGTTTGTTCGGGTGATTCATAGCTAAAACCAACGTATCTTTTCTTTGTTTGTAAAACACACGGAAGATATACTTTTTCAAACTTTAGTCTTACGGGCTTTGGATTTGATTGCGAGACCTCTTCGGCGATCTCGTGACCCCTTTTAAATGCCTCCTCTTTCGACAAACCAGGAAAATGCACAAACAAGCTATCTGTGTCTCCATAGACAACCTTTCCTCCCCAATCAGGTCTACTCTCAACCAAATTTATAGCTCTTTCAAGTGTTTCACGAGCTTTGGATACAATAGCATCGGCAATATCAACACAAGGCATACGACCCGAAAAGCTGGCGCCCGTATAGCCATACGTCATATTTGCCATATTTTTGAGACACTGTTGTCTGGCGTCCAGTTTTCTGTGTAATGCTTTGTTTGGCAATTGTTTTCTGTTATTTGCTTTTATCTGATTCTTAACCATAACTCTGGTATCAAGTATTTCTTCTAACATTCTGTTAATTTTATTTAAAAATAATAAATTAATTAATATATAATACTGTTTAATATAATCAATAATAAATGGATACAAACTTTGGTAAAATTCCTGTGCGAACGTATTTTTTGAGAAATACTGCACCATTGGGTGATATATGTATATCATTGCGATACTTATAAAGCAATTGTTTTTTTACTTCAAGACTCAGACAACCGAACTCAAAGGTATCGTTGTTTCTGTAAATAATTAGTAAAAATCAATAATTATTATTGTAATATCATTATTATGATAAAAATTCATTACTGGATCAGTTGATCGACTCGACCCAAACACGTTGAATAACAGTAATTGTATGCAATCATCATTGATGGGTATAGGCTTTGAAAGTCGAGTACAACAACTGGATCGCTATAATACTTAGAGTATGGCTCCAGAACCATAGGGATGTGCTCTATTGCTTTCTGACTGTGCACTTGTCGTGTACTGGGAGACACTGCTATATAATCAAACATCTTTGTAAACCTCAACATAATGGACTCCGTGCCAAACTGTGATCCTCTGTAGTAAACTTCTTGAAATTGTATACCAAAAAGTCTGGCAAATTCACTGTTCCTCTCAATGAAATTTAATTTATCTAAAAGTCTAAGAGATCCAACTGCTCTGGTGAGGTAGTAATCAATAACTCGACGTCTGTTGTAGTGATTGTGACGATTTGTGTAAAGTTGTGTCAGTTTCTCGAAATTAAAGACAGGGATGCGTTCGTGGAGGACATGGAAGTGCACGTTCTCGTAACTGTATTGAGTCAGTGTAACCTCTTTTCTTATAATTCTCCACAAATTCAATGTAATTCTTCCACAAAGTCTACAAAAATTCATATTTTGTTGATTCTCTGTATTCGTCTCGTCATTAATACGGGAAAGGGCTGTCATTATAGACATATTTAGAACGTTAGCTCTCTTAAGAATATAACCCCACGAAAGTGTGTCTACTTTATAACCGACAACAATGTCKGGATCCCATTGTTTAACAATTTCGACAAACTTTATCAACAAAACTACTTCATCGTCCACGTGATCTACGACTAGATTTTGACCACCGCTTATAGTGTGCGGTGCCTGCCGTCGACTCGTCCGTATTTGACTAAATGAATCGTTTTCAAACTCAAGTTTTTCGATGTCCGGTTCAACAATTATCACTCCTGTTATGTATTTTGATTGCGATATATCATCTGATGGTTGATCACAAAGAATACTATAAAATATGGCTTCAATTGGATCGGTTTGTGGATCAGGACTAAGTTTGGCACGAGTTGATACGTGAACCTCCACACTCATTGTCGTTAAATACTGATAATCGCAATCATTGTTAGTGGTAGTCGTAGTTGAGATACCATCAACACTAGTAAAGGCAAACTCATTGGAAAGGGTTGGCCCTTCAATAATTGAATCATTCCTATAAAAAGCTGACTTTGCTTTTGCACGACTTTTTTGTGATATATTTGGTGTCAATTTTGAAGTATTGAGAGATTCGTTACTTAATTGAAAATCAAACTTTTTGGTCGACTCATTCAAAGTTTGTGAAAATGGTTTACACTTTTGACTGTTAACAGGAGTCGAGTGGTTCTTAAAGTTAGATGATATGCCTGTTATAGGAGTGGAAACTTTGTCTATTGTATTATTGGAAAGTTGTGTATTGGATAACGATTTTAATATTTTTGGTGAAAGTGTATTATCTAAATGAAAACTAGAGATTTCTTGACTGATCTCATCATTTGTTTCATGGTTTGTAATGTCATTTAATGGACTCTCAGGTATTTCATCGGGCATTTCGATAGATTTGTCAGAAACTGGTCTTTCACTACATTCAGAGTGATCGGAGGCATTGCTTTGGGAAATATTAATTAAAACATTTGGTTTATTTTGAGAACAAAAATTATCTTTTAATGTATATAATTGTTTCGATGAAATAATATCTGAAGTGACAACAAATTGTGAATTATATGGAAAATTAATTTTTAGTTTATCATTAAAATCTTGAAAATTAAGTCTTTTTAAACAAATTCTAATATCTTTATTGCAAAGTGATTGAAGAAAATGGAGTTTTTTGTGTCCGATTAATGGTGTTTGAAAGAAATGTTTGACGTCCTCTTCATTAAACTCACGACCAGCGGAACGCTTCACTGTTAGTACTTCGCGACCAAATTGTCGCAAACATGACTCTGGAAGTGATTTAGGAATTTTAACAACGACTCCATTAATATAATATCCATACCGTTCATTATCTTTGGCCACATTATGGCCGTCATCTCCCGTAAGCAATGCCTCCTTAACTCTTTCCGATATACTTTTGTTGACAGTTTCTGACATTTCTTCACTTCTTGAACCTTGACTCAGATGTTCGAGTGTATCGTCAATACTATACTTATCATTGAATTTATTTCCTTCCGAATGAAACGAGTCGTCATCAAAAATACCATCAAATTGAGGAATATTTGAATTGTTTGAATAGTATGGCATATATGAGTAGTTATCGACATCAAACTCGCAATCGGGTTGAGGAGTTGGCTGTGAACTCATATTATAATGCAATTGTTGGCCACCCATTGATTGCATCGATTGTTGATTGTTTGACCAGTTTTGAGTACCCGAATAAATATTCCCGGTATTGACAAAAGTAGATGAATTGTTGTTCTGAATTGGAAGTGTTGGTACAATTGGATTTTGAAGTGGATTTTGTTGAAATTGTTGCGATTGATTACCACTATAATTGTAACCATCACTAGCATATGCACCGGTAGTCGAATGTATTCGATATTGTCTCAGAGGATTAGGAGCAGTCATTTGATGCTCTTTTTGGTAATTCATTTCTGTAATCATTTCATTGYTATCTTCTTCATTATCTGATTCTTCATTGTCTTCTTCCTCTGCTTCTACACATGGATTTGACTGAAAGTGAGGAGTGTTTTGTTCAATACATTCATTGCTATTATTATTATTGGAATAGCCATCAACCTGTTCTATGGGAGAATTAGACTGTTCACACATACCATTTGATTCATCTAAGGTTTGACATATATTTTCATTGATATCTTCACCATAAGTTGGTTTGTCKACAATTGATTTTTCAATTTCTTGATAYTCATTCACTTGTATTTTCAWACAATTCTCGTTATTTTGTTCATTATTCTGTGTAGTATTTGCTTCTCCATTATAAGACACATCATTCTCATTGTTTCCAAATGTTTCCATTAATATCTCACTCAATGAATCGTTAGTTCCCTGAATGTTAGGCTCTTCTATCTTTTGGGTATCACTGAAAGGATCAACATTTCTTTCGACTGCACCGATTGCTTCTCCGTTTTCATCAACAGCTATACCTATCACATCTTGTTCTTCATTATATGTATCATAATTCCAATCGTCGTTATCCTCATAAGATGGTTCCATGTCTTCGAAAAATTCCTCTTCTTGAGTATCAATCATTGGTTTCGGTTCCAATTCATTTGCAATATCTCTGACAACACTATCAACACATTGTGAAACAGAGACGACATCATTGATAAGATTTTTCATAACAATGAGTACGTCTTGTGTGTCCTGACTCTCTTCATTAGAAAGATGTCCGCTATAGTCGTTGTAATAGATGTTATCAAAYAAAAGTGGACTTATCTTATGTTTGGCATAACTTTTGCGATAATGATCGGGCAGTTTAGTAACATCAACCTCAAAGTCATCACAGAGTGACTTCAGATACGATAGTTTCTTATGTCCGCTAAGTTGTGTTACATGTTTTATATCCGAATCATAAAACGGTAAACTAATTGTATTAAATACTGTACTACTGGTTACTCCTCGTTGTACGCGTGAACGCGATTTTTGAGTACTACCAGACTTTACACTACTTTTTTTCGTTGGCTTAGATTTGGATGACATAACGGCGCGCTTAGGCAATGCTTTTTTGACAACAACTTCATCTTTAGTCTTGGAATCACTTTTGGTTGACTAACTCTTTTGCTTAATGGCTTATCGACTATATAAGAGGCTTCAGTTAGTAGGCGCGCAATTCGATCCGTCTTAACGGTACTATTGTTTGATTTTTTATCAGAAATAGTAGTCTTAGGAGTCTTAGGCTCTACTTTTTTAACTGTCTTTTCATTAGTTTTGCTTTCAGTTTTATAATCATTTAATTGCGGTAAAGTATAAAATTCTTTGAGCGCACCTTTACTTTTGGTGCCACCTCTGGTCGATGTGTTTGTAATTCCATTTTCTATTTCGTGTTTGACTTCTATCTTCATTTCCTTCCAATAATCAACATTTTCTTCATATCGTCTTAGATATGGATTGACGATGTAATCCGGAGTAAATTTGATGTCTAACTGTTCAAAACCAACCGTTTCTATTACATCTTTGTCATAATAATTGCCGTCATATGATATGATATCAGTGTTAATGATTTTCCAAACCAGATCTGATGATAGATAGTCAGTGGTATATGAAGACGATTCATATGGAGTTACATATGAAGTGATGGAATCAAGTGCTGAATCTAACTCTGATTTTGCTATAAAAATATGCGTTAAAAAAATTACTGTAAAAAAGTATTTTAAACAAAATATAAATTCAAAGCAAACCTGATTTACAACTTTTGCTTCTATTAGAAGTGGCTTTTGTTTTAGATTTAGGTTCTTCAGTATAAATAGAAGTCGTTCTTTCAATGGTGTCGTCATAATTAACACTTTTGGATGTATTTCTTCGCGATCGACTACTAGTGCTTGTCGTGAATAAATCCGATTCAACATCTGATTCGTTATCAGAAATTAGTGAATCTCTCCGTTTACTAGACTTAGGTCCAGGTTTTGATGATTTTGGACCGGCTTTACTGGATTTAGGACCCGGTTTTGAATTGGTTGCACTTATTTTACTCGACTTGGGTCCCGGTCTCGATGAAACTGAGCCTGATTTTGATGACTTAGGTCCCGGTCTCGCTGAAACTGAGTCTGATTTTGACGACTTAGGTCCCGCTTTCGTTTTCGGTGGCTTTTCATCCTCTGACTCGTTAGACAAATATGGAGTTACAGAACGTTCAGATCTATTGTCGTCTTCCGCATGTGCTTTGGAGTTCTGTTTGGGTTTCGCTGAAAAGTCACTTAAAAATGAAGTCAAAGTTGTATTTTTCTCTTCTCCTTCTGATTCAGAGAACGACATATGAAGTGTTTCGTTCTCTGATTTTTTAGCTGTCGATGGTTTAAATCGATCCCAAAGACGTGACGATAAATTTTTGCTGGGCTTTACTTTTCGACCCGAACTCGACTCAAAGGCATCTTCGTTATCGTCTTTATCAATGGATGGTGAAGGAGATGCTTGTCTTTTAGAAGAGGATGCTCTACGCTTTGGTGTAGTCTTTGATTCGCGATATACTTCATTAAGCAAMTCATTGTCTGAATCCGAAGCATTTGAATATTTCTTCTTACGTTTGTTAGATCTGCCACTAGTTTGTGGTCTCTTTTTTCCTTTTTTCTTAGAATTCTTCTTTGAACTCATTTCAAAGTCAGAATCATCTCCAGAGTCTTCTTTATAATTCGGTTTGAAGTCAGACGCAGAGCCCGAATCCGAGTCAAACATACCATCCAATTGTGGAATACGTTTGCATTTTTCATATTCACATCTTTCGCAATCACATTCACATTGATCTGATCCGCGATCACAACATTGATCACAGCACTCATCAGAATCACAATCACAAACTACTTCTTCTACTTCTTGTTCCGAGTTTAAGAATGGATCTAAAGAGTTATCGAACTCAGTCTTAATGTCGGTTTGGGTACCGGCGTCGACATAACTGAGTTTAGGTTCACATATCTCATCGATAGTGTCATCAATTTCAGTGCTAACATCTGTATCGCCATCAGTAGAGCTRATATAAACCAACCGTCTTCTGGATGAGTTCTGTTCACTCTTTCTCTTATTTCTTTTTGCTATCGATTTTTGTTTTATCTTTTGTGATTTCTGTGAATCATTTATAACATCTTCAATAGTCTGAATGATTGTAAGTGTCTGTGAATTATTAATCACTGTTTCAATGGTTTCGACTAATTTGTTTATTTATTAGATCATCATTTTTATCATCGATGCAATTAACAACAATATCTGCGAAATCATTTTCATTTATATCTTCATTAAATGACGACAATTGCAATGATAATCCACTATTTTGACTGCAATCTTGCTTTATATCCAATTTTGCCAAACCATCAAACAATTCTTGAATAAGCTTTGCTTCTCTTTCGTTAACTGTAATATCAGTTCTCTCTTGAGATGGATTGGCGTTAAGATTAAGCAATTCTTGTGAATCTTTGCAGTTATTTAATGCTTCCCTCCAAATGGCTTCTAAGCCGGGTATTCGTTGGTTGTCTAGCATTGTCTCTCTATTAATGATATCTCTGTAATCAATATCACACTCCAACTGACACGAACTCATGGGTTCAATGTCTGAATAATCAACATTTTCGGGAAGYGATTCTGTTTTACGGAATATAACATGTTTTGCTTCCAAAAAGTTCATACCATACAAGTTATTGTCAATAAAAAACTGTCGYAAATATCAATAAATAAAYCATTAATTAACACATTATTAATAATTTATAGACCAAATACCTGAAGTGTGTAATTGAGGTGCGCTTCATGTGGTTGTATCTGTCGATCCATTATCTCTCCAGAGAGTAGTTGTTCAGAAACTCTAAGAAACAAAATCATTATTTTTGATATAATTRTTTTAATTTCAAAATTYTAATACTTTTGAATCATAAAYGGATTGTAGAAATAAATTCGCAAAAACTTTTCATAGTTTTCGTGGTAACCATAAAATGGTCTGTAATTGTAACAGAAATTAAAACAAACATTGSATTAGAAATTTTCATTAGAAAAATATCATTTAAATACATTGAATCCACTTCTTGTACATCAAATACGAGTTGATCACTGTTTACATCTTTAGCTACATTTCTGGTGCGAACTCTTTGTGGGAAAATATTAGACTCCATTGAATTCACTAATTGTTTGATGTAATCGTTTTTATTGCCGCAGTTGTCTCGTCGGGCGTCGTATTTGACACTCAAATATGGATACACTTTGTGTATATGAAGACATGCTTTACGACCTAATGAGTGGTTTAATAAAACCAATCACAATCGACATATCTATATATCAAAGATAACACATACCATCATCAGTGGTACCGAAAACACGCAAAACAGGCACTCGTTTGATGTCTGTCTCTCTGAATAGAGAGTAAACATCATCGAAACGGACAGTCGGTTCACTCAGATAATGATCAACATTAACAATACGAAGACGAAGAGTGTGACCTCTGTCTTCATCGGTAGTTGTCGTCATTTTATCGGTGATGTGACCAATGCTAACAAACAATACATATAAATAAGCGCCAAATTAGTCGGTGTTTACTATTTATTATTAAAGTTATATAAAAAGATAAATGTTTTGACAACAAACCAGTTGATGAAGTAATGCGATGATAATCATTGACACAAACAGATAATAACAACCAATTGGTTAAACAGATCTTCAAATCAATGCTTTGGAGGCATTGCTTGAAAACATTGTCCAAACAATTGAGTACTTGTTTTGTATTGTATATCGATTTGCATTGCAATCCAAGTCAACCAAAATGCCGCACATTTGGCACCAATGAAACCGCCATCTATTGTCACTTCAATTGATAACCAATTGTTAATATATTTATTATATATAATTAATATAAAGTTTTTAAATAATAAGATCTATTCAATAGTGAAAATCAAATAAATTTAGTTTTAATAAATATATTTCATTACTATTTAAAGTAATTTAATCCATTTGTTGCACATATGATAAGCCAGTAATAAATTATATTTATATTTATTATAAAAATGTATTTATAATTTAGTCTAATTTAATTTGATTTGTTTATAAATATAAATTTTTATTTATAAATAAATAAGTTGAAGAAATTGGTTGTAATAATTAAATTAATATTTTTTAGGATATAATTCTCAATGTTTTTAATTGTTATATTTATACCTGTATTTTATAAACATAATTAACATAAAAAACTTAATAGTATTTTATTTGATATATTGRTAGAAATAAAATTTTRTTACAATACTTATTTAAATAAACAAAAAACAAATAATTAAGATTTCAATTTTCAAGATTACAAGTGTATTAAAAGTTTAATTTTAAAAATTGATTGAATATATTACTGAACCATAAAATTTCGTGATATTAATTATATTTGTATTAATAAATTAATGTACAGTTTTTTAAAATAAAAATCATAAATTGYTTATACAATTAAATTATGTTATAAATACATTAATTAATATTATTATATAATATACWGTATAAAATAAATTATATATAAATCTATACTGTATTAAATGATAATAATGTTATGTAATTTGTCAGTTCATACAATATAAATACAAGTGTTGATAATACAGAATAATCAGCARTTATAGGCTATTAATGTGTATATATTTATATATATAAAAAACATTAGCAAAAAARWTTAATAATTTAATTAATTGGTTGTAAAAKGATTTTCTATGTTAATTGATCAAAATTATCAATTATTGTTAATGATTTGTTTACAAGARTTATATAAATCAAATAAAAAGTAAATTTAAATTATAGATTTTTATATCAAATTTCTATATATTTAATAAATGMAAAAAATCAATTAAAATTAAGATATAAAACTACGTTAACATAAATTATATACAATAAATGATAATATAATATTAATATGACATTAATTATATACTTGGTATATATTATATTTATATATATATATATATGATTCACACAAATAAATCATTTTGCTTTTAATCTCATGGTATATAAAGTGATAAATTATGTAATGAGAGTAATGATGATCAGTATTGATGGCAGTGATGGTCATTGCGTGGATCAGTTGAACTTAATGGCAGAGCAATTAATAGTTGCAGTTATTTGCAAGTATGGATGTCTACAGTTTTGGTACATGTCTTGCACTCGACATAACAACACCAGTGAAACTTACAATTGCATCGCTCTTTAACCATTGTTTTATGTGTATTATATCTAAAAAATAAGATAAAAYAAAAATTAATRTCAAAAATATTATTATATAAAGACAGTGTGATATACCCTCGTCCACAGCACATAAGATTGCATCCATCAGTTCCGGGCGATGTCTTATTGCACTGTCGGCCACGTGTGCCGAAAGTGCCCCTCTCGTCGCTGCCAATGCAATAGTCGGGACTCTCATCCATATAAAGTAGATCCTCAGCGGTTGGCTTACTATAGCGCGAGTTTTTTATTTGCAATTTTGATCTTTTGTTTATTTTAACTTCAGTCGCGCCGTCATATTTGTCTTTAAGAAAGTCTCCGACCTTTTGTTAAGTGGTTTTTACCAAATAGAGGTTCAGACCGGAGAAAGTTGTCAATTGGWTATAGAAAGGCAACAAAGTTTGCAAAACTTATATTATACACTATATGTTAGGTTTACTACTCAAATCATATCATATTATATTATAATCATATTATATATWGGTATAGATATAGGTATTACTAAATTTATGGTTCTATTGATTGTTAAAACAAATCATTAGTGAAAAATACTAAGAAAGTTGTGTCTCAATGAATGACCTTATGTTTGGGGAGGGGTTGTCAACAAAACTGAAAGTAAAGTGCCTATTATTATGTATATACTGTACTACAAGATATTTAAGGGACAGTTTAGTGCTAACTTTAGACATATATATTACACGATAGAGTCTCTTACCTCCCGAAAGCTGGATAGTTGTTGCCAGCAGGTGACCAGTGAACAGGAACCGCTCACACCGTGACATTTACAGGTCACCCGTGTTTTACGTATAACAGCCTATATTAACAAATTTGTACATGTTCATTTTATGTCATTCACTAATATAGACACAAATATTTGTGTCAAATACAAAACATTTATACATTTAAAATATTAACCGTATCTATAGTTAATTTTTATAAATAATGGATAAAGATTTAGACATTTTATTGTAATATATTAATACAGTTAATGTAATTATTATACAGTATGTGCTAATTCTAATCAATTGCTATATTATTAAAAAAATATTTTGCAAATTAATATAATTCTAATTTATCATGTTTTCTGAAATAAATTCAGATATTTATAAATATAGCAACAATTGAGTAATATTTGCTCTCAAGTTAAATGTTTATTATCTAATAAAAGTTTTTTTTTTAAATTTATTAAAACGCTAAAATATTATGCATAATTTAAGTCATAGTGTAAAAGTTATGCATTAAGTTGCKATAAAATTTTTATAAGTTTTGTTTCTTTGATGTTTACCGAAAGTGAAAAAAGTTTAAATCATCGAAAGTGAGGCCTAATGCAAGTTTCGCTTTTTAGGTACTCTCTCTCTCTCTCTCTCTCTCTCTCTCTCTCTCTCTCTCACACACACACACACACACACACACAYTCACWCACTTCACTCTTCTTGAGACTCAATTTATTATCATATGAATCGATAAAAATTACATTAAATTTTAAATAGTTTTAATTTCATTTTATTATTTATTATATGAAAATATTTTGAATGCTCTATATTATTAAAATTGTATAAAATGAATATAAAGTACTATTAAATAGTATGATTTTATATCATGCATTATRTGATATTAAATTTACATATATACCGGTTAATTTAAATATACATTTTTATATAAATTATATACAGTCATACACTATACTAGTATAWACTATATATAATTTAAATTGTTTGTAAAAATAAAAATATTGATCTTTTTTAAAAAGTGAAATAGTTGTCTAATACCTAGTGATTAGTTGTGCTACTAATACATTAAAAATATTTGAATACTTTAGGGAATTACAAGATTTGGTAGTTTTTAAAAACATTTTCGTTAAAAACTCATATTTCAAATACACAGCTTGTGCTTCAATTTACTATAAAAATTTCAAATAACATCTTTACTTTTGATACATATTAAACATTTCGTTTTATAAATAGTTAATATGCTGTTGTATGTGAAATGATTTGTACAGATTATGAAAAAACAGATTAAATATATTCAACAACAAATAAGACATATATTTTGTTATAAATATGTTGACTATTACTTTACTTTACATACTTTTACAATATGGATATATAATRTAATACAAATCATGAAAGTTGTTAAAATAGTTTGTGTCAATAATACTTTGTGTAAAACTACAGTACTTTGTCATAAATGGCAATATTAGCAAATCTTAATATAATATTAGAATACTATTGCTTTAGTTTATCAATATCACCGCAAATAACTTACTACTACTTGTTTATATATAAATAGTATATTTTTGTATATATATATACAATTTATTATACTGTAGAGTTGCTAATATTATTATTAGCTCTAACATTAAGATTAGGCTTTTTTATTACAAGCGCTTACCTTATATAAAAAGTATATGAAAGTAAAAACCTCTTGAAATAAGCACTCTATGCTAAATCTCTCTCTCTCTCTCTCTCTCTCTCTCTCTCTCTCTCTCTCTCTCTSTCTCTCTCTGTCTCTATCTATATGTTTGTCTGTATCTGACTTTCTATTGATATATGAAGTATATGTGCAAAAAGGAATGTTGGCTTCTTTAAGATAATTCTTATATATAATAACTTGTAATAAGTTTTATGTTTTTCAAAGTGAATAACTAGTAATTCTTAAATAAGACCTACGAATGATATATGAGCTCAGCATAGGCTATATTGAGAGCTAATTCTCCAAATAAATATATAGTTAGTTATCAATGTTCACAGGCCTATCAAATGAGCGATTGTATTCAATGGCATACCTGAGTTAAGTATGACCGGGACATGTTATATGAGTGCACTTGTAGTAGTTTTAGTCAGAGAGTAGTATACTATACGGTATGGCTAATAATGGTAGTCATAAGAGACTCTTTTCTTTTTTGAACTGCCATTCCTCATATGGCATACAATAATAATAATAATTGTATGGTATGGTACTTGTGCTACGGTATATAACAATTGTGTGCACTATTTTTTCCAACACAGTGGCCATAATAGTGCTCAACACAGTCCTAACATGAAAGAGCGGTAGACCGGCATTACTGTTGTAAAAGTGGGGTTTGGATACACAACTAATCTCTTTTCATATAAATTCTGTACACATATCATACACAATATATATGGTGAGGGAGGGCATCAAACATACCATATATATATTAGGCGCTGAAATTTATAGCAACCGAAAATATTACTGCAAATGAAATGCCATATAAATGAGTGCAATATCTGCGGCAAACAATAGATGAGYTCTTCAACACAAAAATGTCTTTTCATAAAATAATATAAAGAATCGGGTAATCAGTGAACAGTTAGTGACAAGCAATTTGTTATACAACTATATCTATACAATAGTAATGTCAACCATTACCGATGTATGCTATTGTGTATCGATGGCACATATAGTGTCTGGTTTGTCATAACAATTAAACTCATCAGAAATTATCACTTTTTTAAGTGCCTCACGTTTTTTTTATTTCATTTATCCTATAATTTAAATAATTWATATATTTATTATATCCAACGATACAATGAATATCATGTTCATATAATTAGTGATTCATTATATAATATTATTATRYWTATTTTTATATTAATTTAATTTAACTGACTTATAACTATGAATATCACAAAACATTTATGAGAWAAATATTAAGCTTTAATTAATATCTTTAAATTTACATAAGTTTTAGATCCTGAATGTAGATTATATCAGAAATTGTGTATTTTTGTGATATGTTTATTACCAATAGTATAGTCAATGTTGAGTTAAAATAATTAAGRTTTACTAATTGCACTTATATAAATTATGTATTTTATATTATTTAATTATAATTAATTAACTAGTAATATACAAATCAATACATTTAAAAAATTTAAGTGSTMAAATTTTAAAACTTTAAAAAAATAAAAATTAATAACTACTTAAAAAATAAAATTATAAAAATAACATAACAATTAAAATAATGACTTACTCGACGCCCGGCTTCGTTATTATGTAGATTCATGAGTTTCTTTCCCTGTTCTCGGGAAGCCTTAGAATGGATGTTCTCCCGTTCCTTAACATCAACAAACTGTGTGGCAAACTTATAGCCGTACTCTATATTGTCACCACAACCACCCCATATCCACTCTAGACATCAAATTTTATAATAAATAATTTATTTTTCAATARTTAAACAAATTAACATTTTTGAAATATCATATAATAATATTATGAAAATTAAATATATTAAAAAATTTATTATAAAGTATATAAAACAATAATCAAATAAAGTTGATAATCTTATGAATTGATATTATGATAGAAAAGTTATGTTTTTAGTAACTATTATTAACTATATATATCAAAAATTTTCTACATATTTAAAATACTCAAGTAATACCTTTATTAAGATTTTTAGGTCTGGCCGCACGACTACATCCACAATGTGCTAACTGTCCATCCCTACAGGCCCGGGCTATGGCGTGAACAACACCAGCGGCTGTTATACTGTGCATGAATGCCGTCTCCCGAGAGGCTATTAATTATAAAAGTTAAGATAATTATTAAATAATAAACAAAAAACATATTATTAAAATAATAATTTTATACATGTTTTTTAAACATTAGCACCAAAATGATTTAAGTCATGTAACTATATTTAACTAATGTTTAGTAAATAAAAATTACAAATAAAAAAATTATTAGAAATTTCTTTTTCTATAAGTCTTGTAAGTATTTAATTTAAAGCAAAATTAAAATATAGATATTATTTAAAATTTGCCTTATCATATAAAAATAACCTAAAAATAAAATTAWTTAAGTTATATTATAATTTTAAATATTTAAATATGATATACTATATGCTATTTAAAATTAAAATCATTTAAAAATGTTTTTAGAAATATCTTTATATTTTTAGATKTATAKTTATTCAATTCTATATTTAAGTCCTAACTTTATGATAGCTCTAAAGATTTATAATTACAAATAATTTGTAACGTAATTAAATTTAACACTTTATTAGMAAAATTTAAAAAACAATAGATGTAAAAACATTTTTAAAAATACATATATTAATTATAAGATAAACATTTTGCTGTATAAATAGCTGTTAAACGTTATTATAATACATAGCTTTTTATTTATTTTTAAAAGTATTATATTGTTTGATTGATATAGTAATTAAAGTTTTTAACAATCTAAATTTWAYAAATAAATACAGTTATATATCWTATGCRATTAAGTGTGTGTGTRTATATATAATACATTACATAACAAATAATATACAGTATAATAATTAGTAAAAATTTAGCAGAAAACCCCTGTTTATGTATTATTCAATGAACAAACTATCTTAACTAAATTGTTTGCTTATTTGTAAAATAATTGTATATTTTGAAAATGGATACAAAATATTTATTAATTTTATGTACATTAAAAGTTTACAATTGAAATTTAATGATACAATAATTGTTGGTATATTTATATATTATATACGTTAGACTATACAACACAATACAACATTGGTCTTAATAAAAATCTGAGGAATGAATCAAATGAATGTATAAAAAAAGAAAATATTTAGAAACTATTTTTRTAATGATTTTAGTAATATTTTTCGTGTATTACTAAAATAAGTTTTATTCATTCATTTAATTCATTTCATACACAAGTAATTCATTGRATTTTGTGTTTATTATTAACATTCCTATCATTTTTAAAGGAGAGAATACATGTTTGTGTAATATTAATAATATAATCTCTATTATATTAAATCAATTCACGAGATTATATGACAAAAATTTGAGTCACATATAGACATTGCATAGAAGCGCCCCTAAGGCTATGTTTAGCGCTAAACAAATCAAATACTATATTAATATTGTATAAAACTCATTCATTTTGAAAAAAGTAATATAAAGATTATTTTAAACAATTTTTAGTAATTTGTATAATACATCTATAATAGTATCAATATAATATATACATTAAATATAATAATTTTTTAAAAAATATTGCAATAAGATAGTCATTACATATTTGTTGAGTGAACTAATACTCCAATGATTATATGAGTAGCAATTAAATTGCACTCAAAAAGATGCCCTAAAACTCTGCAACTAATAAAACGTGAGTTGTTTTGTGTGTTTAAATTTTGACAGTAATATTGGGATGACATGAAAGCATAGGAAAATCTCAAGACTATTGACAATTTGATGAGAAATCTCTGGCCAATGATAACAGATATGGCAAAAACCTAACACATTAAACGCTATTAAAAAGAGACACTAATAGGTGGGCAAATCTCTAATAGTAATACTAATATATCATATCATATAAAGTTTATATACATTATATTTTTTATTTATGATCCATATCTTATATGTTAAAATAGTCTTTAGATATTTTAATAGTAAATCTCAGTTTGCTAATAAAAAGCTAAATATTTTTACTTTAAGCTAAATAAATGTATACAATGTTGTATACTATGGATTATTGTTAATTATTTTAATGTGACATACAATCATGAGATTGGTCAATAAGGCTATTAAATACTGGTGCTAATTGCTTGATAAATTAGATGCTAAATTTTTTATACAAACTTGACTGCTATATCTTAAATAATTATAAATATATATTATAAATCACTTTATGATACATTATTAGACTTATTATAAATAACACTAAAATTTATCTTTATTTTTAATTAAATGAATAAATATACTGCGTGTATTACATTATTTTTTTAAATAAATAAAATTATATAATAAATATATTAATACTAAACATATACTGTAGAATCAAATTATATATATTTCTCTTTTTGAATGCATTATTATATAATTTGTGTAAAAATATTAAATGGTATAAAATAGGATTTAGTTTTATTCTTATAATAGCAATAATATTGTAAAAATATTTTATTATATTTTCTCACATTAATATTAATGAATTCAGTTTTTTTCTCCAAAATTAGTAATTTTTAAATAAAGTTGTTTTTGTATTTAGCAATAAACAGTTTGTATTCAATGTTATAATTTGCATTATTGAATTATTTTGTAAATGTCTTATTTAYGACATACAAATAGTTAAAATTTACATTTAAAATAGTATTAATAAAAGATTGTGTAATATAGTGGCTGATACTTCATTTTAAATTTACATATATTATAAAATATTGTATATTAATGATGCTAATATACTTTATTTATTTTTATACTACAGGTATTAYTYATAAATAAAAATACTTTATAATCATTTTATTGMTATTATTAACATATTTCAATTATCAAGTGATAATTAGTATTTTCTAATTAGTATACAAATTAAAATAAACAAAAGATATAATACTAAGAATATTATATATATAAATAATTAATTCAAAAACATTAAATAGATATAAACAAKAAAAATATAYTTCAAATAAGATAAATWTGTTGCAAACTATAAAATAATGCATTTCTATTTATAATATTTATAACTCCATTATTTGTATTATATAGTGTCTCCCATAGACCCCATAAACCTGAAAAAATTAGGACTCTTTAGAGGTTTTATGGATAGAAAAATACATTTGAAAAATAACTGACTCTCTAGTTGTCATTGTCTGCCAAATAATGATTACCTCTTTTTGATTATAATAACAGTTGAGTTGAGTTTCTCTYTAAAGGAGAACAAGTGTAAGGTTTTCTTGAGAAACAATTTATAGCATACAATTCAAAGGCAACATTTGGCTCTACATAGTCGTGAAAATTAYAACAAAAAACAAGTAACACATTGTATTATATATATATATATATAATTTTAAAAAACAATATATATATATATTTATCTTTTTAACACATTTTTTGTCTAACGTATAGTTAAACGTAAAGTTTTTTAAATAGTAAAATATTTGTTGATAGAATTTTTTTATTTGAAACTACACTGAAAACTTTGGATATAATTTTGGTTTTCATATATTTTTGGTTAAAAATATARTAAGAAAATTYAGAACTCATGAATTCGTGTATTTAATTAATAGTATATTTGAACGATTAAAATAAATTGTTTTTTAAATAAGAATAATTTCTATATATAATAATATTTTTGAAAATGTTATTAAAAATTACAGTATAACGAGGATATACTGTAAAAGTTAAGTTCAAACATAAAGTTTAGCACTTATTATATCTAATATGTAATTTTAAAAATACAAAATCATTTTTCTTTTYAAAAATAGCAATTGACTACTATTTTTGGGGAAAATAATGATATGGTTTAAGAAAACATTTTTGTTTGCTTCTAATGTTTTGTTTGGACATCGATTAAACATTAATATAATATACAGTGTATGTCATATAATTTATATATACMGTACAAATATATAACACACTGATGCTTAACATTAATGYYAAATAAATTACCAGAAAGTTTTCAATATGAAAATTATTAATTTTTACAAAACCAACCAAAATATTTAAATAAGCGCACAATTTAATGAACATATTTTTTAACATATATTCAATAAAATAGCATATGTAATATTTTTAAACAAAATATACTTTAAAAAACCATTTGCCTATACTGTATATAACTAGTARGAGTAAAATCAATAAACTGAAAAAAGTTTGCACAAAAAATTACAAATTCAATAATTTTTAGTGAAACAGTGTTGAAAACCATTAAGCATTTATATRTACAGTACATATAGTGATACAGAATGTACACAAAATACAAACATTGGGATCACGAGTAATGGGTTTATATRTKTAATTTATATACAMTGTTATGTATATATATATATGCATACAGTATATACAGTAATATAAATATTTAATTAGAGCTAAAYCTTTTTATATRACAATCTTTCAGTCATTTAACTCATATCTCCGTTAACTTACCATTGAATAAATTGAAATCKATATATCAAACAATCAAAAAACTTATTGCTTTTTCAAAAWTTCAGTTTTTATGGAAAAATTTTCATTCATATAACATATGATTTGTTTTACATTGGCATCAATTTCAAATTAAGTATCAATGTAGCATACGTAATACGCTTAGCATATATAAATTTTATAATAATTGYAATTTTAAAATATAATTTTAAATAATATACTCTAATTATKATWTGTATGTAGAAAAGTGTTAGGAAATTAAAATATACAAAGTTTATTTTAAAAAACATTATTATAATATACAATATAATAAGATTATATATAAATTATCTTTACAATTATGTAAAAATACTGTAATTACAGTATCCTGTATTAAGTTTATTATATAATATGTATACAAATAAATTGCTACAAAAACTAAATAATATTTAGATATTTATCATTTATTTCAAAAATATTGATAAGATTAATTTTTATACTAAAAACACCAAAATGACGTACAATAATGTACATAAAAGTTAAAATTTATTATACAAATTTGCAATAAATCACTTTTTGATTAAATTTCAAGACTAAATACATAATGTTGCAAAAAAATAAAGTTTACAAATAATAAAACTACTACTTTTGTAAGTCTAAATATAGTTATGCATAT